TGAATGACTACTTTGAAGCTAACAATACATAAAGTATTGAAAAGTGTTAATCTCCTATTATTTTGTTTTGAAATTCTATATCATCATTTCATTCTTCTTTTGCTTTAAAATTATTTTACATTGGTAGGAAAATAATTATTACTTTCAGAGAATGTCTTGCTTTTAATCATTGATTTCTTTATAGAAATCAGAAAAAAATCTCTTCATTGATTAAACTGCAATATTCTTTGTTATTTTAGGCACAGTGCTCTGTCTTCCTTTCAGTTGTCCAGGCTGTAAAATAAAAATCCTAATGTCTGTCCTGCTAATTTTAAAAGAAATTTTGCAAGATTCAGATGAATTATGTGCTAGTGAGCTATTCATGACTGTAGTCAGACTTGCACCTCAGTTTACAAATTTAATTTGTTTTATGGTTTGGGGGATGAAGGCTGTGCTGGAATCTGTGTGGAGAAGATGGTCAGGGTCTTATTTGTCACGTGTGCACTTTGTGTTTGCAGCATCATGAACCAAGATCTTGCTGTATTTTGGTTTATGGTTTCAGAGGTTTCAGTTCATGCTGGTTGCTTTGTTTCTGAGGCTGGCGTGAGAGAGAGAATCATGGTAGAGAAAACTGGTAGAGGACACTAAGTCACATCATGGTACCTGGGAGCAAAGAGAAAGGAATAGGGTAGAGGGCCAAGGGTTAAGGTGTAACTTCGAAAGCATGCACTCAGTCATCTATTTCCTTCCTGCGGGTCCCATCTAATGGGCTATTCATCTATGAATTCACCCACAGATGGATCCACACATGAGTTTAGAACCCTCATAGCATCCACTTTAAAGCCTCACCTCTGAACATTGTGACACTGGCATTTAAGCACTGACAATACGGATATTTGGGCAACACTGCCTGTTTAACTTATAAAAAGATGGTACATAAAATGTTCTTCAGAATCAATAATATGCAAATAAACTATTATGATTGGATTTGCCATTGTGTTTCACATTTATTTTATACTAAACAAATTTTCACGAATTGCCAATTAATGTATATCAGCAAGCTTTCACCTATAAGAAGACACTGAGTTGTCCCCAGCTGTTTAGGTCATTTAACTTTCTGAACTTCTGTGTGTCCTCAAATATAAAGCACAGATACCACTCAATGGGAATTTTTAAGGTTATTTTAATTGCATAAAGGCTTTAACTGTATTCAGTGTATTAGCAACTGAATTGTCTGTTTGTTTATGTCACCTGAAGTATTTTCTCCTGCAAAAAAGTTTAGCCACAGTCACGTAAAGAAGTAGGATCAGATGTGCATGTGTGCATTTGTGTGTGTCCAAGGAAAGAACTGTACTATATTTAGGACCTCATTTTTATTTCATTTTGAGAGAGTCCTGATAAATTGTCCAGACTGGTCTTCAATTTGCAACCCATTTGCCTCAGGCTCCAATTAGCTAGAATTACAAATGTGCACCACCACATTTGGCCTCTGGTATCCTGAGTTACATAATTACAATAAAGTCTGAAAAAGGTAGTACTTGGTTAGATATAATTTTAAACAAAATTTAAATTCTACTAACATTCAAAAAGTGGGTTTTGATATTGAATCAATAATACACAATTATTTCTGCTTTCTCTACATGGTAGCTCATCATTTCATATTGATTTCTGTTTTTAATTAAAATTCTTATTTGCCAGCCCCTACCACATTCTCATGATCTCTGTTAAATCACATTCCTTCCAAGGAGTCCCTGCCAACCACCCAATCAAAACTGAGTGCTCGTTCAATGTGGTCTAGTGTGGTCAATGTGGTCTGCCTGCTACCTGTTTTCCGTTACAAGCCCCATTTTGATATGGATGAAATAAGGATATTTTTATATTTATGCCTATCAAAGAGTATAATAATAGTCAATGTCTGACAAAATTTATTAAATTGTATATGTGTCTACCTATTCCAGTTATCTCTAATGTTATTACTGAGTCATATTTGCACAACGTCTTTTCAGTAGTATGTAATCACTGAATAAAATCTAGTCACCTGTTTGAATCACATTAACTCCTCAGTTTGTCATTTGGTGCTATCGTCAAGCTACTATCAGTAATTCAACTAAATTGTGCTACCATGAAAAATAACTATGCAATTCCCTTGCCATTACTTTAAAAAATCATGTAAGCATTTATAATATCAACATTAAAGTATTTGTTTATTGACTATCTTTATGCCTAATAGTTAAGCCTCAACTGGAGATAGGTAGGGAATCTTACATGCAAACAAAATAGCAAAGTGCATTGGAATAAAGCAACTTAATTTTTTGAAGACTCAGCAATGTCTACTTTTTTTTCTACTTTCAAATCTAAGTTCTACTTTCTAATCTTCAGTTCAATGATGAACTGAATTGAAACCAAAAGTTAAGTGAATTTTTAAAATATATTTTATATCATTCCCCTGTGGCAATAGAATATGAGATGTAAGTACAAGTTCTGACCAGTGCTTACAAAGTTTAAAATTTATAATCTTAATCAATGTATGATTAGGCAGAAGAATTTATTTGAGTAGATCTCAATGTAATATCAAAAATTCTTCAGTACATTGTTTAATGAACTTGGAGCAGCCATTCTTAAGAAGTAGAAATACCAAGACAGATTAATTTCTTCTGTCTTTTTATGGTACTCTAACATCAAGTTTCTCTTGGCTGTGTATTTCTCTTATTGTATTTCAGAAATTTTCAGTAAAAAATTATTTTAATACTCTATATTACCTTTCAGTAATGCATTTAATGGTCCTAAAAGTTAAGATTTGTTCCCACACGTTTTCTCCTGAATGAAAATAAACTTTATTTACAATATGAAATTGACAGGAGACAATTCTAGATTTCAAGGATAATCTTTAGTCTACTGTATACATAAATGCTAAAAAATATCAAATATCAATGTTCTTTTGAAATTAAGTTTTAAAAATTATTGACTTCCAAAGATGATCAAGATGAAAACTAAAATTGAAATCTTGAATTTCTTCCTTAACGAAATGTCATGAGACTTCTTTTTTAGGATTTTCACAGATATTTCAGTTCCAAACATATTATAAAATGAATCAAATGAAATTACTACAACACTGTGGGTTTTCTCAGACTAAATGAAAATCACATAAATGAGTTATAATTATGTAAAAGCAGTAAGGGGATGAATACTAAATGGTAAGCTATAATCAAAGTTGGATAACCAGCTCATTTGTCGTGCAAAAAATATTCAATGCATACATTAGACAAAGACTTGCATTTATGATATATAAAGAATGGCAATAAAGAAATAATCAAAAGATTTGAATAGTTTACAATAGAAAATACATAAGTGGCACCAAAGTACATGTAAAGATGCATTACTTCCTTACTTATCAAGAATTTCAAATTAAAACCACTGTGAGATACTGTCAGGTATTCTTAGATTAGCAAAAATTGAAAAGACTAAATGCTGGTAAACATAGGGAGTAACTGACACCTTATAATTTGCTGATAGGAATGTAAAGTTGATGCACTTTGTTTCTAGAACATTTTGACAATTTCCATAAAACTTTAACATACACCTAACTCATGATGCATCCATTTTATCCCTCGGTATTTGCCCACAGGAGAAAACCCCATGTTTCCACAAACATCTGTACATGAATATTTATAATAACTTTATTTCTTAGTCCCAAACTGGAAAAAAGTCAAAGTCCATCAATAGTTGAATTAGTATATAAATAATGACTTATACAGTAGAATACTACTCACCAATACAGATGAATGAATTATAGATACACACGATAGCATGAATAACTCTCAAAACTATTTTAGAGTGAAAGAACCCAGATATAAAAGACTATGTAACATACAATTCCATTTATGTGAAATTCTGTGAAATGTATACTAATGTACAGTGAAAGAAAGCAGATTAATTGTTACCTGTGAATAGATATTGAAGGAAGAACATATTAGAAACAAAAATACAGAAATTTTTTGGTGATGAAATGTTTGTTATCTTTGTGGAGTATATATACTTGCCCAAACTGATTAAATGACACATTTTAAATATGTGCAGCCTGTTGGAGTTTGTTTTTTTATTTTGACTTTTATTAGCACACGCATGCAGTATGTAATGATTACATTTGCTGTAGGAATTTGGTACATGAACATAACACATCTCACTTCCCCCCCGATCCACTCTCCTTTCATTATTCCAGCATCATGTTCACTTATTTATCTTATGTTACAAAGTTGATCATCATCTATATAGATTGATAGCCAGATTAATAGGCCAGAAAACACACAAAACACCTCAAACAATTACACTACATAAAGGTACACTTTTAGATACTTTGTCCACTAGATACACATATCAGTTTTAAAACAACCTGTATTTCCTCATGTAGTTCAGATACAGGACAGTGAGTATATTTCAATCATTATATAAGCATTTTCCACAGAATTTATTTCAAGATAAAAATTTAAAAAATTATAGTCCATAAAATTATGATCAAGAATCTTAAAATATGTGGGAAGCCATGATTCTTCCATCAGTTGATTACAATTTGTAGGAGACAGTTTACACACATAGAGCAATTTGAAAACAAGTCAACGTGTAACACACTGTGAACCACAGCACAGAGGGTGCACACATTGCCTCATGCTTTAGAAAGGGAATGACTGCATGGTGACATGGTTTTGCTTTATTTTCTCCACAAATAATCCAATGCCAAGTAAAGCTGTGAAAACACAAGCTGGATATTTCATCATCCTCTAGAGCCAAAATAATCTAAATCTTCTAGGCCTTTTTTCCCTTAACAGTTGATACAAATTCAAACGTACATAGGAAAAAAGAAAAGCACACTGGGTCACACTATTTGCTTCTGTAAATTCTACTAATAAAAATTGATTTCTATTTATGATGAATTAGGGCTACAACATCCTGAATCTGTTTTGCATGTTTTCAAAATGTATTCACAAAATCATCACAGAACTTTAAAACACTTATTTTGTTTGTAGCTTGTCGGCCGGGCTTCTACAAGGCTGCGGATGGTAACATGAAATGCGCTAAATGCCCGCCTCACAGCTCTACTAACGAAGAAGGTTCAATGAACTGCAGGTGTGAGAATAATTACTTCCGCGCAGACAAAGACCCTCCATCCATGGCTTGTACCCGTGAGTAGTTTTGCTGCAACCCATGCCTCCATGTTTGTTTGGTTTTTTCTTCTCATTATTATGCTATCTTTTTGGTTTATGTGTATGTGTTTTAAGCATCCGCCCATTGCCTTCCATCACCCATGTGCAAACTGAAAGCTTCTCTGCTTCACTTTTCATGCTTGGCTTACCAGAAATGCAGCATTTATCACACAAAATGAATTAGATTTTAAAGTACTTCTTGCAATGTGACCACGAGGAAGAAAAGAAATTTTCTGTATCTTGTTTTAAGATCTTGCATTACATTTGACAGAATCAGGGAGGGTATAGGCAGGGGATTTGGTTTTTTACTTTTCTATTCCCTCTTGCCATCTGTCGGTCATAGGTCATAGGGGAAAAGACTAAGATTTATAAAAGTAATACGAAAGTTTTTGTAACTATTCACCAGGGTATTGAATTTAGTGGTAAATTCCTTTGCTGGACATTGTGAACGCAACTCCCGCTTCCTACCTTGGGGAGGACAGCACTCTTGAATCCATGTGTCTATAATCTCATGCATCCTCTAAGGATGAGTTAAAAGCAGATAATAAAGACAGGATGGTTATTTACCTCTTTCAGCTGTATTGTAAATTATCTATTTTTCTTGTAGTAGAGCACAGAAGTGAGGCCCATTAATCTTTGTTGAACTACTTTGCAGGACCTCCATCTGCACCAAGGAATGTTATCTCTAATATAAATGAGACCTCGGTTATCCTGGACTGGAGCTGGCCCCTAGACACAGGAGGCCGGAAAGACATTACCTTCAACATCCTATGTAAAAAGTGTGGGTGGAATGTGCAACAGTGTGAGCCCTGCAGCCCCAACGTTCGCTTCCTCCCCCGACAGTTTGGACTCACCAACACCACAGTGACAGTGACAGACCTCCTGGCACACACGAACTACACCTTTGAGATTGATGCAATTAACGGGGTGTCGGAGCTGAGCTCCGCACCACGACAGTTTGCTGCAGTCAGCATCACAACTAATCAGGCTGGTGAGTACACGCTGGGTACCTCTAACTGCTGTCACAGGAAACCAACTGATGCTTTCCGCTGAGAGAACAGAAAAGGGAATAAGGGAAAAAACAAAAAAAAAGGGGGGGGACAGTATTTTCTCTTCTATTATGGTGAGAGCGTGATAATATATTCAATAATCAGTATATTTCTTCAGGTGAAAATAAACACTAGCTGTTACATAATTTAAAACTACTTTATACCCATCACTTGCAGTATTGGAATCCCTAAACATTTAGGGCTCTGTTACAATAGTTGTCAGTATCCTTGGAACATTTCTAAGTGTTGACTTTATGCCCTGAACCAGAGGTTTGAAAAGGTCATGCAGAATTTTCAAATCTTCAAATACTTTTATATTATTTATGATTTAATTTTACATAGATATTCAAATATTTTATGTTCCTAAAAAGCCCAAAATATTATATCCCTAATGTTCATTCTGCTTCATTAAAGATAAGAAAATAAACTATTGATTTAATAGGTAAGTTTCTTGCTTGTAAATTGAAAATATGGAATAATGAAGAATCATGATTTTAAAACATCTTGTTGGAAAACAATTCAAATATTTAAACTAAAAACATTCCCTGATGTTGGGTAATTTTTTTTTTTTTATCAGTACCAGGGATCGAACTCACGACTACCTGCTTGCAAGGCAGGTGCTTAAGCCGCTGAGCTAAATCCCCAGCCCCAATGTTGAGTAATTTTATCCACCACATTTCTACTGACATTTTACAAATGAAAAGAAAAATATATTGACAGGTTGCAAGCAAAGGCTGTTTAATATAAGACAGAAGAATTTAGAAAGCATAAAATTATCTCATATTTCTTCATCATATCCCTAGATTTTCTCTTGTTTATTCTTAGCAAATTATATTCTTTGATCACTCTAAATCCTCTGTGTAAATTACTTATGGATTTTACATAGGACTACTTATATGTGTGTGTGTGTGTGTGTGTGTGTGTGTGTGTGTGTGTGTGTGTGCCTGGATAATCATTTACATACAAATTATGCTTCTTTGAAATAGGAGATAAGTTTTTCAGTATTGATAGTGGGGATAAACGAGTAATATAGTTTTCTTTTATAATCTATATACCTTGTGCATTGTTAAATTGATACGTTTGTTACTCGTAATTGTTACAGATATCCTAAGTACGGACAAGCAGTTTGATTCAAAGATGCTAAAGTATTATGTAAACATAAACTTAAACATAGTTTTGAGCTGAAAAAACGAGAGAGAGAGAGTGAGAAAGAGAAAGGATGCCAATTAGAGAATGCCTGAATTAGTACTCCAGATTCATGTGTCTGCTCCAGATGTGTTCACCTGTAAACTGGCAAGATTGAGTGTAAACCAGGCTCCTGATAGGCAGGTGTCTCAGGCGATGAAAGGCCTTAGGTCAAGGAACTGCCCTGAAAATATCTGAAAATATATTGAATGCTGCTGTAGGCAGAGAAAATAGAAGTGACTTAATTCTGCTATCAGCTCAAAGGGGTTTTCTAGCAGCAAAATTGTGATCCAAAAACTCACTGCAGTTTCTCTCACTTGGCTGACTTAGGAAGGTTAGTTTACCTGCCAAGAGTACACAGTGATGTCATCCAAAGTTAATAGTAAGTATGTGCCATTATGGTGTCCTGCTTGTCGATATGTTTTATATTGGTAAGCATTCCTACCTACTTTGACAGAGTAGAATAGAAATTCACTTACACAGGTTAATTTTTCAAATATGTTAAGTAGTGTCTTACACTCAGTATCTGAGGTCCACCTTCATCCTCCCCATAATCCAGCAACCAAAATTACAAATCTTGGATAAGAGAGCTCTCCACTGTCCTGAGATAGTATGTGTCTTTCTTTTCCTTTCATGCCATGTCTGTGGATAGATATTTTGGATATAGCTCCTCTCAGATTATATGTTATATATATCAGATATATCACCTTCTGTTTCCAAATTTGTTTTGTTCTCTGTGCTTCTGCTCTCATACATTCATGAAAATTTTATCCTTTTACATCATCTGATGCTAATAAGTAATTATTATTTGTGGAAGAGCGTGGCTTAAATGATGTGCACTGAATCATTATTCTGATCCTACTTAATGAACGTGTAAATTTTCCCATTAGAACTTGCATGCTGGACCAACTGGCATGTGTCTTTGCTTTGCTTCAGTTAATAATATTTTGACTTTGTCAAGAATGTTTTTTAAAATGTGTAGCTTAGGTTTATTTAACTGTCCTTGAGAAAGAATGAGTAATGCTATCACTATATGTCACGATTATGGCTTCTCAAATACAGCAAACACAAAATCTTTAAGAAATTAAAAAGATGTGGCAAGTGGCTTTCACAAATCTTAGTATTGCAAGCTGATTTACTGCTTAGCTTAAAATAGGGGCATCAATCTATATTACAATTATCTCTTAAATCAAACAGAAAGATAAAAATAAGCAAAGTCTCTGTATCCTATCTTATCATTTTCCTCTGGCTTACTGACAATGCATTTATCATGAAACTCAAAATTCTAAATATATACAGTGAATAAATCTAAGTAAAGTAGCAACCAAGATCAGGCCAAGACCTGAAAAAATAAATGAGATTGATGCTGTGGCCCTCCCTGTTACAAATCACAGCATATGACAGAGATTCAGTGGGGTCGATCTCGGTTGCTTCCCTTAACCCCAATTCTATTTTTTAAAAAATAACAATTTTGCCTACAATATGTACTACAGACATGTGATAAATTTATTTCAGGGTGTTAGTATCATTTTGCATGCCTGGGGATACAGAGGACTTTGTTCTATCTTCAAACCCCCAGGGTAAGATATATAAGCGTGATTAGAAGCAATACCGTTTCTATTGGGAGTGTTTCTTTGTTTTGATTCATTCTTGTTCTTGTGAAGGTTAATGGACTGGTAGCCTTGAAAAATAACCTCCCTATCATGCAAAGGATATGGCTGGTGACAGACACAATGCCACGCTGTTTAAATTTCTCCTAGACTCTATCTCCGACACGGATATAAAGGGCAAATGTGGATGTGTCCCTTTTAATTTAGTTTGTGAGATTGACTTTGTTGATTCTTCTCTTGATTACATTGTAAAAGCCTTGTGATGACCACAGGATAAGACACCTTATAAATTGTAGAGGATTTCATTGTAAATTTAGATATTAGGTCTCCACTTCAATACTTGAACAAGGTATGTCAGCGAGATAAAAGCCATGGCTTCTGTATAAAGATAGTATCCATCAACCTGTGAGTCAGACAGGTAACAGAATTAGAGATTGCAAACCAAATGCTTTGTACATTACAGCATGGGGTAAACTGCTACCCTTCCTCAGAATAAGTACATTTGCGTGTCAGTTCCAGAGGCAATTTTTCCATTCGTGGAACATCCATGTCTCTTTACTCACATCACCATTACTGAATCCATTTTCACTCTCCTGTAGCAGACAATGATCTCAGATTCATCTAAAGTGTACTAACATATTATTTATGGAATTCACAGGTCCACCTCTAATCTCCATTTTACCTCTCTAAAAAATGAGATCCAAGTTTTACCAAAATACCTTCCAGAGACCAAACTCCTGCTTTGTCTTCCAACTCTGCCTCGGTTCCAATGCCTATTTTCTCTTCTTCTGTTCTGTGTGTCATGGCGTGACACTGCTGAGGAAACAGGAAAGCTTTGCTGGGAAATGCACTGTAGCATGTAACAAAGGACTTCGCAGGGTATTCTGCAACAGTTCGCCCTTATCACCTCCACCTTCCCTCCCGCATGCTCTCCCGATGAATCTCCCTCCTAACTTTTGGAGACCATAAAAATTTAGAGGGAAAAAAATATTATCTCCCCTTTCTCTGAATCTAATTCTTCCCATCTGTACTAACTTCCACTGATTCCTGACTCTTTACATGCTGTCAAGCAAATCTTCCCCTTCTATCATCTTTAACAAAGCATTTTATATCTTTCATTTTTTTCCTTCTGTTTTAAAAGGTTTTTCCAGCCTACAGGAAAATACAAATAGTTAAATGACGATAGTAGCTATAGTACACAGAAGTGCATTTGAACTTTATACATTTATGACCATTTCTTTGTGATCCTGCTCTATATTTTACTTATTATTCAATTTAAGAGTAGAGTTTCATAATCTTTTTTTCTCCTGTTTTCTCATTCCTGATTCTGTTTTACATTCCTATACTTTAATTTCTTCTCTCACTCCATAGCAAGTCCTCTGGAGAGGACAAGTAATAATTCTTTATTTGCATATTTATGCTCAACTAAATGCAGTTGTTAGGACATAAATATCATGGAGATGGGGAAATTGTTTACATGATCATAATTATATTTGAGGGATTTAGATCAAAGGTTCCCAGAACACTCTAATTATTCATATTAATTGAATGAATAAATGATTAAGAAAATTTATACTAGCCAAAGCTAAAAAGTACTCTGCTTCAAATTTGTCCTCCGCATTCCTCTTTTTCCTCTTTCTATTCCTTCTTTTCTCACTTACTCTCTATCTCTCTCTCCCCACCCCACCTCTCTCCTGATGTAACCACCCTTTTCTGCAGTTTAACTGATTCTGGCAGTAGGAAACATCTTTGGCACATCTTCTACATCTAAGAAGTCCTAGCAGGCTAATTACTCAATTTTTCTTTTTAATCTTCACACATTTCTCCATATTTAGTGTAATGATTTAACATTCCTATATATAGTGCTTAAAAATAGGCAACTGCATGAGATTAAGTGTATTCATTTATATTTATGAAATTATAAGGTAATACAAGGAACTAAAATATACTAATTGAAATACCGTACTATTGAGCACCTCTCTCCATTGAGATATTTGTAAAATCGGTTAGTGGATTAACACTTGCTTATATTTGAGAGTTTCTGTTATGTTCATATACTACATACCATGCACGTGTTTAATGTACAGATTTTAAAAACATAACAAAAAATAGAGCCATACAATTAATAGTTAAATTAAGAAGTGGTG